GACGGCAACACGTATAAATCTTGTTGTTGTATGGGTATTCTTATTTCATCGCTATGCCCAAATGTATTAACATATGAATTGCATGAGTTTCTATCTTGACAATACGATCGTCAATCGGCTGACTTTCAATGTTCAAGATATCGACCATCTCAAATAGCTCGTACGATGAATCCCAGTGATTTAAAAAATTTAACGTTCGACGCGTTTTTTCTTTTTACAGAGCAATCGAATACTTGATTGTCGTCTCTTCGTTAAAAATTGTATCTCTTGTTTGCTTCACCTGCTCGTTCAACACAAGCATTTGACGTTATCGCTGTCGTTTTTGTACATGCAGTCTAAAGATAATCTCCTCTCCGCGAAAATCAAGCAATCGACCGTGATCCATAATGCAAATCATCAAATCCGTAATGCTTCGTGCAATGATCAAAAGATAAATTATCTGGGCGGGAGCTTCCGATATCTTATATCCTAGCGCGTGGCGAAAACTCATGTATCGTATGCACACTCTTGTCATTACTGTACGCATCCGCGGTCACATTGCATTCGATGCGAATGATATTTACGTTCATAATATTTATTCGATTCATCCGATTCGTACCACTGTTGCTACTCCAATATACGATTCGATGAAAATCCCAACAGCGATCCAATGTTATCAGGTTTGGTGAAATTTATCCGATAGGTTCACTTGATTTCGCTCTTCATCATATTGTTGTAACACGAATAGCTAGCGAGTACTCGTCATTGTCATCATCATCTTTGAGATTTATCTTCTTCCTCCTCGCAACAATCATCAAGATGAAAATTTAAAATTGCACGTCTCAGATGCCAATGTCACGCATACTTCGTATAGTTCTCCGGGAATGACAATTTTTTTATCGTCTTTGTCAAAATAAAATTTATTATTCGACGAATTTACATTAGGTATTGTATAGTAAGCTTGTCAGGCCGAGTTCGTAATCATCATCATTTAAATCTATGGTTGGAAAGTAGCTTGCCGCGAGGACGCTACTCTTGCCTGTCAACGTCAGCGACATGTTTTGAATGAATATTAAATAGTGCAATAGCACTATGCAGTTTTTAAATTAGGTATCAACCATTTGTAAAAACTGCAAACATAGTTGTCCACAATTACTTTGATCATAACGTTGATAAGGAGTGTGATTGTACACGATTTGTGTCACGTCTAGATCCACACTAATTCCCTCGGCGGTCAAAGATTATCAAAACTGTCGAAATATATAGCATGATTTTCTTTCTTCGCATATGCCACCCAATGAATACTAGATCCTTCAGCATTATTCCATATTTCAAACCATTATTCACGATACTATTCTCATATCTATGTATTCTTCCTGTTGGTAATGCAGTACGCATGAAAATGCCTTTAAAATATGGAATGCACATACATTTCGCCAGTTGTTGCAGTTGTACATTGGTAGTTACATCCTTGGACATTTTTACTACTCCTTTGATTTTTTTTCTTTTTGAAATTCTTTTTCCACGCTTGTAAAGAATGAAATGAAATCCGTGACCTTCCATGGCGCGGTTATGGTGTTTTAATTCTTTCAGTTGACGTTTTGAAGCTTTGTTATCATTCACCGCCTTTGCGATTCTCGTCGCTCCACCAACCAATGAATCGAGAGCTCCTAGCAATGGCAGGATTGGCAGGATACCACCACGTTTCGATACCAGAAGTATTCGCTTGTTCGGTGTCCTTTTCACATTTGTCAACTTCTTTCTTATCTTCTTATCTTCGTTTTCAAACTCATACCTATTTTCGTCTTAGCTTTCATAACAGCCCAAATGGTTGTAGCAGCAGCTCTCTCTCCAAGAGTCGAATTTCTCGCAGTAATATGTTTTCGCGCTTTCACAGCGAGTACATTGTCGGCAACGTGTCGTTTAGCGAGATCGTTGCTATGCGAATAGGCTATATCGTGCTCGCGACATGCCGCGTCCAGTGGATTAACGCCTTGATCACCTTTAGCCAATCGCTTTTCTAGATACGTTCTTGGACCGCAAAACTGATATCCAGGGATATGCAATTCAAAAGAAAGTGCATTTATCATGCGATTTAACAAGCCACAACTCATACGCTTCGCTGACATTCGCCACAATTCTTTATCAGTGATGCCGGTCCGTCGATATGAATTTGATGAGAAAGTAAATTATAATGTTTTAGACACCGACAATACAATTGAATTTCCGAATCTGCTTTTATATACTCGGGTAACTTGTTCCATAATTGATCGATGCAATCATGAAACTCTCGTAACAGAATAACTTTTGGTATATATTTTAAATGTTCGGCAGTTAAGCTGTGTATGTCGCAGTTATTCGATACGATGAGAAACATTTTTTACGACTGAGCTCTACGCGCCTCTATAAATAGGCCAGCTCTCAACATCTTTTTATATTTTTTTCTTTATCATTGTGGAGAGAGAGAGAGAGAGAGAGAGAGAGAGAGAGAGAGAGAGAGAGAGAGAGAGAGAGAGAGAGAGAGTAG